GTTAATAGTTTTATTGATTTTTCCAGCTGCCATTTTAAACCATGGTTATCAAACATACCAAAAGGACAATTTTTAAGGTTGAAGAGAAATTGTACAGATGAACGGGATTTTAACGATCAGGTTAAAATTTTAGAAAAACAATTTTTAGAAAAGGGATATGATAAAAATATTCTAGAAAAAGCCTATAAACAGGTAAAAGAGGAAGACCGTTTAGAAATTTTGAAATATAAAGATAAGCAAGCTAAAAAAGAAGGACTAGAAACTATCCCATTAATTTTTAATTTTAATTCTAACAACCGCACTTTACGTAAAATTATTGATAAAAATTGGCATGTTTTAAAGTTAGATGATGAGTTACGCCCACTAATAGGAGAAAAAGCTAAATTAATTTTTAGAGGCGCTAGAAATTTTAAGCAAATTTTAACTAGCAGCTTCCAAGAGAAAGAAAAGAAAGAATGTTCCAATAACTTTTTAAAGGAACAGAAAGGATTCTTCTATTGTGGAAATTGTAGAGGGTGTAAAGTAAGAGCTGGGAAAAATAGAAGAATTTTTAAATTCATTTCTTTTAATACTAAAACAGAATATGAAATTAAACACTTTATCACATGCAATACTGCTGATGTTGTTTATATGATAACATGTCCCTGCGGGTTACAATATGTAGGGAAAACGTCTCGTTCATTAAAAATACGAATTAGGGAGCATATATACAACATCAGGAGAAGATTCCCTAACCATTGTTTATCTAAACATTTTTTGGAATATCATGATGGAGACCCAGCAGGCCTGGATTTTTTTGCAATAGATCATATTAAAATACACTGGAGAGGGGGTGATAAGGATAATCTTTTAAGCAAAAATGAGATGAAATGGATTTTTAATTTGGATACACTTACACCGGGGGGATTAAACGTAGATTTTGAAATTAATACTTATATTTAACTATAATTATTTATTAAATCTATTGGAGATTATTTTAGGTTGTTTTATATTAATAAGATATTTTTTAATTCTAATTTTAGTAATACTGATTAATATTTTATAAATATTGATTATAATAAGTGTATTTTAAGTATGATGCATTCTCCCGATATACCTTTAAATGTGAATAAGAAGATTTTTCTATTTTGATCTTTTATTTCCCTTTTAAATTTATTCCCTCTTCTTTTGCCTCTCTTTTACCTTTTTTTAATCCTTTTTTTGAGAAAGAGAGAGTTTAACTGTTGCTAATATTCTACGTATTGCAATAAGAATATCTGACTATAATATTTGTTTTAATGTTATTGACAATATGTATGAAGTATGTTGCCAATAGGACTCTGATTATTGCAACATGAAAGACTGTTTAAGTGAATGGACTAGTTCGCTGTTCCTTTTCTTCAATGAACATGGAAGTAAATTGAGATCGTTAAGGATGCTAGGATGCCCAATAAAGTTGCAACATGTGGGGATATTTATGGGATAATAATAGTAACAGTTGAGAATTGCCCACTATTTCAATTCTCAGATCCCAAAGAACGTTTATCGTGTTAAGTGGAATGTATTTCATATAATAATATCACAATGTATAAAAATAGATTTTTATTTATATGACAAATTAATTAATAATAATATGTAACATGCATGACAATAATCAATGAATATCCAGTATAAAATGGTATGCAATACAAAGAAATGGGGATTACGTTTCAATGGCTAAACGGCATTATCTGTCAAGAATTCTGACGATTTATGACTATCTTTAACACAAACTTTTCACAGCTAAGAACAGAATTCCTCAGAGTGCAGGGTAAGGTCGTAAAGTTTAGCAGACAGTTAGAATAACCCTTTCAATGCTGGCTAGATCTCCTAGGTAGTTAAGATCTATTCTTATGTAAATTTTAAATAAAATAACATTTAAGCCAGTTTAAATTCATTTTCTTAAACCATCCATAAGAGAATTTACCACATTATATAAGCAGATTTTTAATTTGTCTAAAAGATATCTATCTTAATTTAGAGCAAATCAATACACCTGGATAAAAACAGCGGTATGCTAACACGTGATAATATCACATCAATATATAATTATTCTTAATTCCACCTGCAGAATGGAATGTTTATAACTATATATTCTTAGTTAACTAAGATTTCTTAATATGGAAATCTGACCGTGCTTTATCCAGTCATATATAATGCTATTAATACATTTTAATTAATTTAATTTAATTAAATGAAACCAGTATAATTACCAGTTGAGTAGATATTTCATCCGATTGGTAGTCTCTCTGCATGGAGGTGTTGGTTAGAAAGTCAGTAAATTCTAAGTGTTAGAGTTTTAGGAGTAGAGTGTTATTCTCAGATGTTGTCCGAGTTGGAGTTCCCAAACTTCCAATTCCTCTCTTTTCTCTTTTGCATATCTTGCATCTGCCTCCTCTCCTGTATATTGTATCCTCTATCTTCCCTTTGTCCTAACTTTTAAAGGGCCAGACTCTCTGTACGTCATCAGTTGATAACCCAATAGAAGCACTAGAGGTGTGGTTATCTTCCAGATCGCAAATTAGTTATTTGGTCTGTAGAGGGCAGTCTTGTCCCACTAAACATACCTATCCAGGAAAGAGTTAACTTTTCCTGGTGGCTATTTTGACGTCATTTTGCGTTATCTTTATAGCGCCATAATTCAAAATTTCAAAAGGATTTCTTAAATTTTGTCCAGACTTAGCGTCTGCAATTCCTGCCATAATTTCTGATATGACAGATCATGAACTAAGTTTACCCTTTTCCATACAATGGTACCTTATATGTATAGACAGTTAAATATTAAATTTTTTAATCTTCTCTGTCACAATTGTCTGGGTTTAGATTTGATTATATTCCATTAGCATTTTAGACAGTCTATCCAACCCCCTTCCTTATCACTTGTTTATACTATGCATTCCTTAGCTCTGGCAAAGAGGCCAGTCTTTCAGAAAGAAATCTAGTGTCTTCTTTGTTAACTTGAAATAACAAAATGGAGTCTGGTCTCTTCAGAGTGACTCAGAATATACACTTTTAGTTTCTATCATAGCACAAAATGTCTGCCGATATAAATACTCTGACAAACAAAAAGGGGAGGGGCTTATTTCCGAAAAAAGGCGCGAAAATTTGCCTATTTAAAAATGGAACTGACTGAATGGACTCACACTTTGATAAAGGCTTTGGCTGAAACGCGTTAGTGTGCAGAGGTGGAATTGCTGAATTTTAATTTTTACTGCTGCTGTCTTTTTTTGCTGCTATACCGAATAAAGGTTTTCATTAAAGATCCTGCATCCTGGATTTTGTAAAGCAAGAAGGAGCAAGCAATTAAGCAGTTGGATTACAACAACCACCTCACTAATCCATTCAATGTTCCTAGTCTGAGCCAGCTTCCATATTAAGTGGCTCATGAATATGTGAGTTTATTCAAGTATTTACTCATTCATATATTATTTGTACGTTATTACCCTATGCCTGTTTTTCCCATTGTGTTTTTACAGGTTTTATATTGAATATAAGGGTAATTATTGTTTCTCTGTGCTCTCACCATTTTTTACTGTTTTAACCATTTATTTATGTGAGGTGGAGTGACCCACATTGCTGGTGATTGTAGCACTTTGTCTTATATTGTTTTTTTCACCATATATACACTTATTTTACTGTACCCAGTATGTGTATGTAATGTTTTTGGGAGCTAACAAATACATATTTTTTAAATAAAAGAGAAATATGTTGTAAGCGCGGTGCTTAATATTTGTGATTGTAAAAGGGAAATATAACATTAAAAATCCTGGGAAGGGACAGATCGCCATTTAATGTAATCGTAACATCAAACAAGCTGCTCTGTTTCAGTGCTCCCTGTAGGGTCATTGTGCCCTAAACATAGCGCAATCACATTTAATGATGTGCTAATGCTACGATTGCTAAGAACAGTGTTAATTTTGGCGGCAAATTTCAATTTAGTTTTAGTCATAATATTTTGACTAAAAAGCCATTTTAGTTTTTGTCGTATTTTAGTCATCTGAATTGTTTAAGTTTTAGTCAAGTTTTAGTCGACCGAATCTCCAGTAGATTTTAATTGACACGACTAAAATCTAATGGGTTTAGTTAAAGCCTCTATCTGTCTCTTTAGCCCCTTCCCCAGCCCCTCTGTGTCTCTTTGTGTCCCCCCAGTCCCTCTAGGTGTCTCTCTCACAAGCCCTGGTCTTTTGCCCCTTACCCAGCCCCCTCTGCGCAGTGTTCATTTTGGTGGCATATTTCAATTTAGTTTTAGTAATAGTCTTTTGACCAAAAAGCCATTTAAGTTTTACTCATATTTTAGTCAGCTGAATTGTTTTAGTTTAAGTCTAGTTTTAGTCACCTAAATCTCAAAAATGTTCGTTGACCAAAATGTGAATAAAATTGTTAGGTCGACAAATTTAACACTGGTTGGGAACAGTTGGGGACCAAGGCGGGACAGCGGGTCAGGACCCAAAAATTGGGAAGGTTGGGAGGTAATATCTTTCTACAGGTGGAGGGTAGCTCTGTTGAGGATTGGGCACGTATGGGGCTGTGAGTTCCTAGTTCTAACCTCCCACATGGCTCCCAAAAGTGCTATGAAGAAGCGATCTGACATCACTTTGTCCCAGCACTGCTGCACAGGAGAGAGGAGGGGGCAGGAAGTCAGTCAGTTCAGTCCATTAAGGTACCGATCTGCTGGAGTACCGAAATGCTATCCGCTACATGCAGGCCTCATTGATCGACCAGTCCCCGTAAAGGAGTAGTGGTTGTCGCCCCCTGATGGCAGCCCTGTCTGTGTCATCTAAGGCACATGGCTCCTCCTACGAGACCAGTACAAAACGAGGAAGTTACACATATATCCTGTGACCAAAAAGTCCACCGCCACTTTTGACAATTATAGTTATGCTATTGACTAAGAATATTAACAAAAATAAGAAAAAATGCGTTAGGAGAGAAGTTAACAAAAGCTTTATATATTTTTTATTTTTTTTAGGTGCTTTTTTTTTCCCATTCAGAGCAGAGCCAATTGGACTAGCAGACATATTTACTTTTGTAATCATTTTTAGTATTTCTTTAATGCTCTGCTTGAATCAAAAGATCACAAAACTGGAAAGACAAGTCAATATTTTATCCCAGCGTTTGGAAATCTATGAAAAAACTGCAGATGTAATGACCGCAAGGCTTCTATGCCTCTTGATGACAAAGCTAAAGCTGATCAGGACAACGGAAACTCGGGTTTAAATCCCAATCAGACCACCTCACTAGTAAGTGACCCTGGGTAGAACACCTAACAATATATATAACAATAGTTAACAGTGTGTAGAATTGGTCAAAATACAATACAAAAGGGTGCCACTATCACCTATGTGGGTCACTCCACCACACATAAAAAAGTGAATATAAAATGAATAAAAGCGGTGAGAGCACACACAAATAATAAAATGAATATATTACCACTACAGTCAAATGGAATCCTGCAATATAAAACAGGAGGCAAACATAGGGTAATAACGTACAAGTAAATATAAAATGTGAATAATTGTTCACACTCACATATTTCTGAGCCACTTATATGAAGCTGGCTCAGACTAAGAACGTTGAATGGATGGTAGTGATCACTGGATACAAATGTCGTCAGCTTTCTTGTTCTCTCCCTTAAAAACCCAGGATCTTTAAAAAGGGATTTACTGGGCAAAATGTAAAATCAGTAACAAAACAAAAATTAATATATACAGAGGTAACACTACCAAAATGCGTTTCAGCCGTAGCCTTTTTTAAAGTGTATGTCCAATCAACTCGTTTCAGTCTTTAAATAAGTCACATGTTTGCGCCTTTTTGCGCTCGATCTCTGACTCCTCCCATTTCCTCTTCCGGCATCCAGATGCAACCATCACAGGGCATCCTTGCGTCCTTATGTCCTAACTTGATCATTCTCTTCCGCATTCATCATCAATGACGTGGGGGTTTCTTGTGTTTTGAATAGAATATTAAAACACAACATAAAACAAAAAATATTACACAAAGATAAAATATTAACTCTAAAAAGAAAGTATTAATTAATTTTTAGAAAATATAAATTAATAGTTTGAATCAAAGGATGGGGCAAACTAGGAGAAAAGGAGATAAAAAATATACAAGCTAAGATAAACCTTAAAAAACATTTAATAAGTCCTTCATAATAGTAAAATATAAGAACAGAGTAGATAAAATATATGTAATCAATATAACCCAGAAGTGTAAAAACAAGGGGAATGGAAAAATAAAATGTATGTATAAAAACTAAATATAGGAATTGATCTCAAAATCTTAATGCAGATTTTGAGATCAATTCCTATATTTAGTGTTTATACATACATTTTATTTTTCCATTCCCCTTGTTTTTACACTACTGGGTTATATTGAGTATATATATATTTTATGTACTCTGTTCTTATATTTTACTATTATTTTTTGTTGCTGGTTTAACTTTTTGCTCAATAAATCAATTTTTAAAGATCCCGCATCCTGGGGTTTTAAGGGAGAGAACAAGAAAACTGACAACATTTGTATCCAGAGATCACTACCACCTTTAACGTTGAACATCATTCAACGTTCTTAGTCTGAGCCAGCTTCATATAAGTGGCTCAGAAATATGTGAGTGTGAACAATTATTCACATTTTATATTTACTTGTATGTTATTACCCTATGTTTGTCTCCTGTTTTATATTGCAGGATTCCATTTGACTAAAGTGGTAATATATTCATTTTATTATTTGTGTGTGTGCTCTCACCGCTTTTATTCATTTTATTTTCACCTAACAATATAAATTCACGTACCTCAAATCCTAATAGATTGGAAGCTTGTTTGGGCAGGGCCCCCTCACCTGTTCTCCTTTCTATAATTGTAAATTGCTGCTGAATATATTGGCGCTATATAAATGGTAATATAAATCATTTATAAATAAATTAAAAACAGATCATGGTAAATGGAAACAGATAAGAAAACAGTTGGGTGTACTAATGGAAAATTGTTTTTTTTTTTTTTACTCAAAACAGTGAATTGTAGTGAATTCATTCTGCACGTTGCAGACAAAAATATGTTTTTTTTAAAAAAGAGTTAATTTTCTCAGATCCAGCTACAATCTCAGTGTGGCTATGTAGTTTTTAGTTTACCACTATTCACTGTGTTGGAATTTATTATTTAAACTATTTATATCTTAAAATGTAATGAAGTACAAATTCAGCCACCAAGTTGATAAAGCAACCCAACTGTCAATATAGCCAAGATCTGATATTTTTGCTAGAATTTTGCAGTCTGCTTTTGCTAATTCACCAATATTCAGTGTTTATAGGAAAACGTCATCCACCATAACCACTACAGCTCACTTCTGTGGTAATGGTGCAGGAGTAGCACGCCTTCCACCCCCCTCCCCACAGTTATCCAGTTATGAGGACTTGGTCGCTGGGTGCTGCTCACGCCTATACTGCCATCTCCTGAGTACCAGTAGTTTTAATGGGAACTTCTATTAACTCTCCAGAGCCTCAGCTCATCGCTCTCAACCAATAAGCTAAGCCCTGCATTGCCCTGCAGAGGAACTTCTGGCTCTCAATAGATGGTAGTGGAGGTGGGGACTGACCCCAGGTAAAAAATTCAAACTTTTGAAAATCAGTTTTACTCCTTACCGTGGGGATACATCGAACTGTAATGGTTATAGTGTTTTCGGGAAAAAATCTTTTTTTATAATTGTTTCATGCAATCCCACAGGTTTCTCTTATTTAGAATAAATGGGTGTACACTACTTTAAAATAGGATGATGGATTAAATCAGATGTAAGGATGGCATGTCTGGAGATTCAACGTGAAACGGACCAGGTCTGCCCTTCAAGTGGGGGCAAGTGGGAACAATGCTGTGGGCTTCTTTTGAAGAACTCACTGTACAGTTATGTTTTTATTTCACTTTTCACGCGCGGCGCGCCCTGTAACGAGGTTCTCTGTATGTGTCTGGTAGTCTGTAACTGCGTGTGTGTGAGACAATCTGTATGCGCTTGTGTGTGTGTGTCTGTCCATCTGTATCTGTGTGTGTGAGACAACCTGTATGTGATTGTGTGTCTGGCCATATTTATGTGTATGTGAGACAACCTGTATGTGCTTGTGTGTGTGTATCTGGCCATCTGTATCAGTGTGTGACAAATTGTAAGTGTCTGTGTGTATGGCTCTCTGCGTTTGCTTGTTGTGTGTGCCTGAAAGTAGGCCTGTCATTAAGTATTTGTCTGTGTGTGTGTGTATGTCTGTAAGTTTGCATTTAAGTATATAGCGTGTGTATGGTAGTGTGTGGGTCTGGCACAGTGTACATAATAGGCTCTGAATGGATTTTTAATATTAAGTAAATAATAATAGTATAATAAAGAAGGTGAACACTGCTCTGAGACATAATATAATAATAATTTAGAACTCATTAAATGATGAAAGCCTACCTCATTGATGGATAAAAATGTAATACTCACTGCTGAGATTTTGGCACAGCCTAACAGATAAGTAAACGTTAGCTATGTTATGTTACTAAAATTTTCAGTTTTTATATTTTTTAGTTTCATGACACACAGGACAATGTTTCTGTGCCGAGCATTCTTCCCATCACTAAACCCTTCAGTGTAACAAGGATTTCACATTCCTCACAGGGTTATACATTCTGAATTCTAGTGAGTGAAAATCCCAATGGCATAATTTAGTTCAAAAGAACAATGGAAACATTCTCCAACTCAGTTACAGTAACTGATTTTCACTGGACAATTCAGAGTTTAACTATTAAATCTGCCTCTCTCCCAGTGTTTATTGCCTTGGACAGGGGCAGAACTGCCAGCATTGCATGACACTAGGATGCAGCAGCCATGGAATCTTTCCTGGTCGTCCTGGCACTGCCGGTAGGGTCCCGCCATGCAAAACGAAGCAGAACTCCACGGAGGCTCATTTGAAGTCACCACAGTATGCAGCAGGGAGAGCTGCACTTAGAAAGTGTGTGTGTGTGTCTGAGTGCGTCTGTATGTGGCAGTGTTCGTGTCTTTCTGTGTGGAAATGTATGAGTATATATGAATACACACCTGCATGCATACACCTGGAACCAAATACTGTAGTAGTGAATTCATAGTAAATTTCTCATTTTTACCTAATATACTTAAACCCGAAAAATTCAGAAAAAAAGTCTCTGTTTCAGCTATTTTGTCCTACAATTTGAAATTCACTTTGAATTCCTAGAAATTCACACTTTAGTGAATAAATCTGAATATTAAGGGGAGATTCGCTAAAACACAACCTGAAAACCGAATGCCCTCATTTGGGCATCCAGGCTTATTTACTAAGCTCTGAAATATAGAATTCAAATAATACTGTCAAAAGTATGGCTAACTTAGCTTATCTTATCTAAAGTCAGAACATGGTTATTGCAGTCTCAGTTTTGACATTTTTAATTTGAACATCCCAAATACTATAATCACTGCAGCCACCCCAGAGTAATTTGTCATACAGTTTAAGAATAGTTTAGCAACTTACCTGGGTCTTCCAGGAGGCAGGTGCCCAGGGGAACCCAGGTAAGTTGCCAAATGTGCGGGCACTCCATTTAAGTTTACACTAACAGAAGTAGTCTTTATTTTGTTATATAAATAAAAACTGTATCCTAATTATTTATTTGAATGTAGAATATGGAACCTTTCAAGAAGATAAAGGGTACAAATCTGCTAGGAACTGTTCACTGCAATATGGACATCATTGTCTTTTAAAATGTGACTTTATTTTCCAGGAGGATGTTTGGATAACACATTCGAAAAGGTTCTTCTTTCAATGACAAACAGAAATATGAGAAATCCCAGCTGGCAAGCATTAAACGGTTTACAACTTTGGAATAGAGAGTCTCTGGTACCCCATTCCTTAAAATTGAGATGTTTTACAATTGTGTGCACCTTGGACAATGTTGGGTCCCATCTTTGGAGTGCATGATTGGTCTCCAAGAACCGATACTTTTAACTCATTCTTTACTCTGGATGAGCTTTCTTTAAAATACAGATATTTTCACTTAATCCAATGAAACCTCAACGGTAGATCAATATCCTTTGCCTGCCACCTCTCCTTTAGATTTCGGCTCTGTCCAAAACTCAGCAACGATTCCTTCTTCGTAGTCTCCAATGCCTTCAAATTCACTGTCAGATGGGACTGGCTCAGTTTCCAGTTCTGCTCCAACTTCCATCTAGAACAATATTGAAATAAGAAAAAAAAAATGTATTGCGCAAAGATTTTATGAAAGATTCATCAGGGTATTTTGCAAGAAACTCGCTATAACACCTCTAACAAAACAGAGGGGACAAATCTTAACTGAACACTATAGGGTTCCTGACCTTATAGTGTAAAAAATACTATTTAGCCCCCCTGCCTCCTTTAAATATAGTAAAAACCCACTTTATATCTGCGGGTTCGCCGGCACTGGCTCTGCCACTGATCCACCTCCTTGGCTGACATCATCAGAGTTGATAATCTCAGCCAATCACAATGCTCCCCCCTAGGAAAGCAATGGATTGGCTGAGATCATCAATTCTGATGATCTCATCCAAGGAGGCAGGACAGGGACAGAGCTAAACAGTGCCCTGGCCAATCAGCATCGCCTCATAGAGATGCATTGAATCAATGCATTTTTATGAGGATAGTTTAGTGTCATCTGAGGAGGTGTTCCTAGGCTGTAATGTAAACACTGCCTTTTCTCTGAAAAGACAGTGTTTACTGCAGAAAGCTTGCAGGGACTGACTATACTCACAAGAACAACTACATTAAGCTGTAGTTGTACTGGTGACTATAGTATCCCTTTAACTCAGAGCAGACATAACTCACTGCTTGATGTACAGTGCTGTACCCTACATTATTACAGCACCGGTTAAAGCAGTGTAACACAGTTGGGGATTTGAACAACTGACAGTCTAAACTATAGGCTTAAATATGTACCCCAAATGTCATTCATCATCACCAGTGGGGGGAAAGTTTAAAACAGATCCTGGATATGGTGGTATACATAAACAGAGCCTCCCCAGGTAGTCACCTTGTGTAAGTGCTGTTTACTGGGTCTTCAGGGAAAGCGGCCCTGGCTTGGCCTCATATATCCAGAGGGTCCCCATGGAGGTAACTCTCATATCTGGACTGTTTCCTGGCACTTAAGGGATTAGAGGCTGGGCCTACAAAAATATTGACCTGGTGAGCCTACAATTAATCTAGGCCTGCTTAAGCAGACATCTTCCAAACCGCTGTGAAGGACAGGAAAAAAGACTGCCTGGTGGGAAGGGGATGGATCTATTTATCCCAATTTCAGAGTTCTATCTCCTGTCCTTTCTGCTGTGAGAGCGCTAACCCATAAGTAAATTCTGCCATGAAAATATAAATGGTGGTATTATTGTATTGTACCCCACCCTGTCTAGCAGGTGGGAGTAGGAGAGCAGTTTGGGTCAATACTGGGGTCTCACTCACCCTGTAAAAAATACAATATTTCATGTAAAGAGGGGAAATGGGTTAAATATAAAGACAGGAAATAAAAAGTATGGTCTAACACTCTCCACATGGAATGGAGTGTTGTTTTATTTAGTAAATTGCAGGAAACAGAACTGCAACTTGTAGCTCACACAGGATCCTTTTTCAGCTAAATATAGCAAAAGTGGGGGGAAAAAATACACCTCATCGTATTGGAACAAATTAGTAAATCATGTTGGTCCTGAATGGGTTAAAAAACAGATTATTTATAATTACAGGCTCTGAACGTGCCTGATTCAGGTCTGTATTTCAGCCGGACCAAACGCCATCAGAGAGCTGAAATCTTGAACAGTTTAACCCCTAACTTACATCCAGCAGCGATCTCCACTCCCACCACAAGCAGCATCCTGCTCCTGAATTTTCACACATATAAAGTAATACTCTCATAGGGAGCTTTACGTACCTCATCATCCCCCTGATTGAGGAAATCTCTGGCAAATTGCAGAAGCTCCTTGTGTCGTGTGGTCTGGTTGTGATACTGTAAAGCCTCCTGCAGCAGGGATATATAGTCAGTATCTGAGCAATATTAAAAGGACAGCTCATAAATGTCACTCAAATCTACTGACGCAATGACATTCCTTACAAAAAGCTGTAATGTGACTCATCCTTCTCACCCATCAATCATCTTCCACGGCTTCACTCTGTACATCCATCCACTGTCTCCCCACCCAATCGAAAAACAATATGTATACAGCTTAACATTGGCTTTCTGTTCCCTCCTAATACTCTTCATTAATGCTTAATACTCCTCCACTCTCTCCCTGTCCTTCTCATTATTATCATTTATAAAGTGCCAACATATTCTCCAGCGCTGTACAAAAGGTGGACTAATAGATAAGCTGTTGTAAGAAGACAAGTTGGACGTACAGAAGGGGTGTGAGGGTCCTGCTCAAAAGAGCTTACATTCTCATGATCTAAACTCCCCACTTCTCTAGTTAAATCCTCCCTCTACATTGTCTGACTTGTCACACATTTATAAATCCCACCACGTCAACTAGACTAGCAGGTAGCAATTTTATATTGGTACATTTAGCTTTTAGTCTCAACATCCGTGCCAAGGGCATTAAAGTGAAAACTGCAAATATGGCAACAGCCAGTGTTCATAGCATATCCGTTTACTGCCATTCTTTTTATCTTTGCAACCTAGCACAGATGTAGGGAGGCAGATATATGGATTGTCAGGCAGAAGCCCGGTTTTGCTTTGGGTTTCCCAGAAATAAAGCAGTACATTTTATTCATTTCTAAACAAGCAATGATGACGGGATTCGGGCAGAAAACTAATTTTCTGTTCAATTCAAACCCATTCGGCAGAGATGAAATACAGAAAAAAAAAACATAGACATAGACAATCATGTTAGTTTATCATATAGTTGTAGAAGGTGAAAACCTACGTAGGATGTAATTCTAGCCTAGGCTAGAGGTGCTGTGTGCCCCTGCGCCAGTAAGAGTGGGTTCAGTAATCCCCATCAATAGGAAACATATTCCTGGCGGTGTGTGAATCTATTTGATATTTCTGAACGGAATACTGGAGATCTTCGAGTAGTGCCAACAAAGTTTGGCATTTGGGTGTGCCTTTGTAGTTAAGATTTGAGTGTTCATACGTGTGGGTCAGCGTGGTGGTCGAACAGTGGGAAGAGGGTTAACGATGCTAAACATCAACTTAATAACGAAAACAAAAGAGGGATCTGATGACTGCATTACTGTGTGTCCTGTATTGTTGTGGGTGGCAATGTAGTTCGTGTGGGTTTTGGCCTCAATGTGCAAGCTGGCGTTGCCGCCTTAAGAACTATGACATGAGGCGTGGGAGTGGGAGGTGTGTGTGTGTTGTAAGACTGGCCGGTCTGTGTGGGTAAAAAAAAAAAATTATATGAGTTAAGGTTCAACTGATAATCATGAAAACAAAAAAGTAAAAATACACAACGTGATTTGGTGTAGGTGCCATCTAGTTTATGGGGTTCCACATGGTTTAGAGGTCAGTAATCTCTTCCTAGGTTCAGGTTGTCACTGCCACGTACGGTTCAGGCGTGGGTGTCTGGGGAATGAAAGGGGTGATGTGAGCCGGATCCCAAGTGTGAGGGCACTGCTGTGCTTCAGCCTGCCTGTTTTGGTTAAGGGAGTCCATAGGAAGTCCAAGACTGCCTCTTGCAGTTCTTGTATGTGGTGAGTGGTGTCCCCATGATAGACCGGGAGAGGCACCTCATGTTGTGCCACTGTAGGAGTATGGTAAGTGGACTGAGGGATTTGCGCAAGGCCAGAGTGTCCCCTGCGAGATTGGCGTAGAACAGGGGCCTCAAACTCCGGCCCCCCAGATGTTGCTGAACTACAACTCCCATGATTCTATGGCTATCTATGTAATTCAAGGAATCATGGGATTTGTAGTTCAGCAACATCTGGAGGGCCACAGTTTGAGGACCCCTGGTGTAGAAGGTGAGAGACATCGATTCGAATTGGTAACGGGGTTTTCCTTTCAGGGCATTGAGGACAGGGGTTTTGTCAGCCCCAATTCTGAATTGGACCACCAGGTCCCTTGGCACTGTGGTCGGAGCTCTGCGCGGTCTAGGAATCAGAAATAGGCCCTCCAATTGCACACTCTGGCCTGTTTTGGGGCAATAGGGTCCCACAAGTGCCTCATGAAGTGCAGAAATTCGGTCTCCTTAAGGTTGTTGCGGTGCATGGTGTCCTCCAGTGCTGCAAAGTGGCATTCATGCGTCTGATTTTGTTCCTCTATTCCACAAGAGAAATCATCCGAGAAGTCAGATCCGCAGTCAGAGAGGGCGCCATTTTTGGCCCTGTCGCGCCCTGCGTCTGCCGGCTGCCGCCATAGTTCAACGATCGTTAACCCCAGGTTCGGCTTGTCCAGTTTTTGTTTTTCTATTTGTTCTCTCCATACTACTTAGGCTTCGTGTAGGGGTCCCCCAGGACACGATGGCTGCGGGTAAGTAGGCAAAAAAGCCAGATTTCCATGGTTGTGTACCAGAGCTCATAGGTCCTGCGACCGCTTGCTTCTGCAGTGAGGCTCTGCTCTCCCAGTGTGTACTTTTTAACTTGCCATTTGTCTGTTTCCAGGATGATAAACAGCGGAGAGAACTGAAAAGCATAAGTGATCATGAGTTGCTTATCTAAGACCAATATAATGGAGATCTAGCTAAGATTTGCGGGTTATCTACGGGGTAAAGAAACGTGCGCATCTCTCACGGATAAAAGATTGTCTTCAGCGTTATCAATGAAACTTATCATTTTTATGCTGGCAGACTCAACTGGTGAAAAAATAGTGGGTGACTTGAAAAAATACACACTATTTTCCAAAGAACTATTAAAAAATTCACTTAGTTTCTAAAAACTATTTTCAAACGATTATCTTCTCACTTTTAGGGTTCAACATGCCAATATACACATTCATTATTTCCTAATTAAAGTGTCTCTGCCACTTTTTTCCTCTCATAGGAAGAATCCCCCTTTGCTGCCCTGCATTTTTTTGTTGTTGTTTTTTTTTGTTTTGTTTTTTTAAACAAAGCTTATCTTAAAATGTATGCATAAGGAAAGGTAGAGATTACTTGTAGAACCTTCAAGCTGGCCAGTGTTGACAAATGGTGAAGTCTTAGTCAAGCTCCACGGCCCTTGTCAACTTTGCTATTGGCTGTACTCACCTCCTACCAGCTCTGCGTTACTTGAAATGTCAATAACACTCTGTCTTGACTCTTTTGCGAGAGTCAACACAGGTACATTGGAAACCTTGGCTTCAAATGATGTGCACGCCCAAGGAAGGGCAGAACATGGAATTCCTGGTCACCACCATCTTAGAAAAACAAAGGTGGTGGTGTCATGAAAGAAGACCCGGTGGGACTGGCACACTTTTCAAAAAAATGTAAGTTGCACTGGTACTGGAACCTAAAATGCTTGTGGGGAGGTTGGGCTGCAGTAAGGCATCCCTGGGGCAGGGACAACCAATTACTGACAGAGCAGGTTTAATCATGGTTCTAATGGTCCATTTGCGTACTTGACATTGTGTTAACGTGACAACAGAAGCCTAAAGAACAAAAACAACACAATCAATTTTTACTGTGGTATCTTAGCATATATCATCTAGGACATTTATTTTAGGATAAGTGCCTTTTTAAATTTTCTGTCTCCCTGACTGTCATGTTGTGAGCAAACATTTAGAACAACAGAATGCAAAGATATAGAAAGAATCGATAAAAAGTCTCAGCATTGCGTAAGCAGATGTGACCTTCAAACTTGCCCCCTAAAACCTCTCTGAAGGTTATGATGATAGTATTGATCTGTCACGAACAGTTAGACCTTCTCACCTTTCTAGGATTGAAATCCGTATCCTCCAAATCCCATTTCTCTTTGTAGAACTTGTAATATGCCAGATTCTGCTGCATTACTGTGTCCACCGGGTCAAAGAGCATGTAGCTCGATACGCACTGCACTGCATTCTTCACATCGTTCACTGGGGGGAAAAAAACGAGTTTATATCAGTAGGTGATTTGTGCACAAACTACTTAAAATTTTCTATAAATGTCAACTTTTGTAAACATGTATCTAGTAGGATGACTAGATGGCCTCATTTTTCAAAGCTAGGGTTCTTCGTAGTATTTGTTCCTGGCTCCTGCATTTAAGGAACTCTCTTGACATCTTAGACAAATGAAATGGAGTTTTTTTGCTTTTTTTTGTCAAAGTAGGTGAGGGACCCTAACACACAAAACCCACACACGGCAATAATTATACACACTACAGGTCCTTAGAATAGGCAAACATAAAAGGTTACTCCAAGCACCATGACCACTTCAGTAATTTGAAGTGGTCATGGTGCCTGGAGTCTGTATGTGCAGCCTTTTACTTTTAAATCTCCAACTAAACTGCCAGGGATGATCAAGTGAGATAGGGGTTCAGTTAATACACTGCTCAAAAAAATAAAGGGAACACTTAAACAACACAATGTCAATCACACTTCTGTGAAATCAAGCTGTTGTGCAAATGGGATAGACAACAGGTGGAAATTATAGGCAATTAGCAAGACACCCCCAATAAAGGAGTGGTTCTGCAGGTGGTGACCACAGACCACTTCTCAGTTCCGATGCTTCCTGGCTGATGTTTTGGTCATTTTTGAATGCTGGCGGTGCTTTCACTCTAGTGGTAGCATGAGACGGAGTCTACAACCCACACAAGTGGCTCAGGTAGTGCAGCTCATCCAGCATGGCACATCATGGCGAGCTGTGGCAAGAAGGCTTGCTGTGTCTGTCAGCGTAGTGTCCAGAGCATGGAGGCGCTACCAGGAGACAGGCTGGTACATCAGGAGACGTGGAGGAGGCTGTAGGAGGGCAACAGCCCAACACCGTGCAGGACGTTTGGCATTTGCCAGAGAACACCAAGATTGGCAAATTCGCCACTGGCGCCCTGTGTTCTTTACAGATGAAAGCAGGTTCACACTGAGCTAATGTGACAGACGTGACAGAGTCTGGAGACTCCGTGGAGAACGTTCTGCTGCCTGCAACATCCTCCAGCATGACCAGTTTGGCAGTGGGTCAGTAATGGTGTGGGGTGGCATTTTGGGGGGCCACACAGCCCTCCATGTGCTCGCCAGAGGTAGCCTGACTGCTATTAGGTACCGAGATGAGATCCTCAGACCCCTTGTGAGATCATATGCTGTTGCGGTTGGCCCTGGGTTCCTCCTAATGCAAGACAATGCTAGACCTCATGTGGCTGGAGTGTGTCAGCAGTTCCTGCAAGATGAAGGCATTGATGCTATGGACTGGCCCGCCCGTTCCCCAGACCTGAATCCAATTGAGCACATCTGGGACATCATGTTTCGCTCCATCCACCAATGTCACGTTGCACCACACACTGTCCAGGAGTTGGCACATGCTTTAGTCCAGGTCTGGGAGGAGATCCCTCAGGAGACCATCCGCCACCTCATCAGGAGCATGCACAGACATTGTAGGGAGGTCATACAGGCACGTGGAGGCCACACACACACTACTGAGCCTCATTTTGACTTGTTTTAAGGAGATTACATCAAAGTTGGATCAGCCTGTAGTGTGTTTTTCCACTTTAATTTTCAGTGTGACTCCAAATCCAGACCTCCATGGGTTAAAAAATTTGATTTCCATTTTTTAATTTTTGTGTGATTTTGTTGTCAGCACATTCAACGTGTAAAGAACAAAGTATTTCAGAAGAATATTTAATTCATTCAGATCTAGGATGTGTTATTTTTGTGTTCCCTTTATTTTTTTGAGCAGTGTATATATATAATTAATTTTTTACATTTATTTTGTGTGTGTGTGTGTGTGTGTGTGTGTGTGTGGGGTGGGGGAGGGGGAGGGGGGGGATGTATTGTTTCTGTATGGATGGGTGTCTGTCTATAAGAGTAAGAATTCCAGTCACATACAGAGGTGTGCAGATGTGTCCAGAACGTTATCATAATGAATTTAATATTTACAGTTGAAAGTCAGAACTTACACTTGTAATACGCAAACTGCAGGTAGTGATACATTGTGGCCACAAACTTTTGAACAAAGTAGCCCCCGACATTAGGAGTAAGACTGGCCTCACACTCGACTTTACACTGTAGGACGTCCGCTAGATGATCTAAGAAAGGAAGGAAGAACAAAGCATTAAAACACCAAAGCCGTCTGGTCCATTAAACCTCTTTAATAAAGCATGCTGGGCGGTTATGTGGCTGAATGAGTGGACAGTGGTTAGGAGGCTATGAAGAGGATGAATGGTTTTAGTTGCACTTAGAATGGATGATGTATCTGCTTTTGATATGGCGAGCATATTGAAATATTTATTCAGCTTCAGTGGATTGACATTGAATGACATTATCTATCATAAGTGTAATCTGAGTGGAGACCAGGAGATGAAGGTCCAAGTCTACAGGGTTGACTGATTTGTGACAGATAAACAACTGCTCAATAAAGTCTAATCAGATACATTTTAATAATTAACCCCACAATTTGGTGTTTACCTGACGTGGTAAGGCAGAGAAGGTGATATAATAACCACATTAACTGAGCGTGTGGATTATGGACCAATAAAATATCTCACAGATATTACTGGACTGAGCTTGGGAAGCTCACATGTTCTGGTTATGTAATGTCCTATTCTACGGACGTGTGTCTCCTCAGAACCCCAGGGATACAAGGGTTACAAGTGAAATTCTATTTTCCACTAGGAATAAAAATCTGGCCAAGTAACCAAGCAACTGCTTTCTTCCCCCTAATTTAAATCTACTGGTATCATCATACAATTTTTACTCTAACTTGGTTTCTAGTAAAAAGGTTAATTTTTAAAGCTGGTGTGGGCAATGATAATTCCTAACCTTATAAGTATACCCTAAAGCACCAAAACAACTTTAGCTTAATGAAGCCATTTTGCGGTATAGATCATGCCCCTGCTGTCTCACTACTATATAGCCCTAGTCACACCTCCCTGCATGTGACTTACACAGCCTTTCTAAACACTTCCTGTAAAGAGAGATCTAATATTTAAACTTCTTTTATTGCACATTTTGTTTATTGCAGAATTTCTCAACTTCTGTTTTCCTACTGGGTCTTTAAAATCTTACCTGCAACTGCTGGATAGAAGTCTTTGAATTCTCTCATTTCGTAGGTGCCCTCACATCCTGTCAGACAGCTGTCGTATGCTTTATAATACAGCGGCAATGCTTGCTCCATCTCCTCGATACTACGTCTGAAATCTCCCGCATTGTAAGATTTTACGGACTTGACAAAAATTCCCTGCGGAAGGAGAGAACAATTAGCACTCGGGTGGTAATGGAGTCTCTATAACATTTCAAACTTTTCCCACCTGAGTTAAATGGTAACTCCAATTACCACGATTCCTGCTGCTTTTAGGGTCTGCATGAAACATTGCAAATACAGAGTAACTTGTGCCGCCGATCCTGTTCTGGGTTGCTAAATGTCAATTCACTGCATACCGGCATGAGACAATTCCAGCTTCTTCCTTGCAAGCTATGCTGCCTACAAGGGGAAGCTTGAGTGTCCCATCCTTTCGTCCATGCCCACCCCACCAGTCTCCCTCACAGTTTTTTTCTTCTTTTTTAAAAATAATCCTTAAGACCTTCAGCTCTGCATGGGTACAGCTGTTTCCAAATCCAAGCCAGAATGGAAGCAATAGTCACCGGCAGCTGTGAGGGCACAGGGCCCCAGCAGGCATAACAATCTCTCCTGTTTCTTACCTCATAAGGTTGGGCCTCCAAATCGATCAGAAATTCATCAACGTCCATGAGAGTTTTGTAATACGCCATGTATCTCGTTGTCATCTCGTGGGAAGGATTCTTCTGCAGGTATGTGTGTGCGGCAGACACCGCTTTCTCCAAATCATTGATCTAGAAGAATACAGAGAGATTACATAGTTGACGTAGCTCTTACGAACATGCGCTGGTATTCGCCAGGGCCGTTCAGATCTTAAAACGCACCCCATGCGACTTTGAGCCTGCTCCACACTTACATCCATTGAATCTAAAAAACATTATATATTGAACTTTTATAGCCAGACTTATGGGACCCATTCACTATTAAAAAAGTGTGGTAAAATTGTACAGAGGAGACTGTTCATCCACACATTTAAGACCTATAGCATATCAATGAGGTTTTTTAAGATCTCGGCTTTTATGAACCCCTGAAGGACACATGACGGAAATGTTCATGCTGACCTTTTACGTCTAAAGCTGTATCCTTAAGAGGTTAAAGCTGATCTATTGATGTTAATTGGAAATTTGTATTTTTTTGTACAAACTGCAGAACAATGACGCACATAGTTGAGTTTCTGGGTTTTTCGATGAATTGTCATTAGCTAAAAACTTACAAATTCAATGTTTCACATTGTCACTGGGTTCTATTTCAATAGACTGATAACACAATCTACTGTATAAATTGATCCAATGTGGCATACTTTATGGAGCGGACAGATCTACGCGAAAACTGAAAATAAAATCATCCCATGTTGAAAGATCCTGGAAATTGGAATGTTTATACACATACACTTTATATAAATATTTAAAGAGCTCATAATGTATCAGATACAAGGCAGCTTATTAAATCAATAAGAATTACATGGTGAATGTTTGGAATGGGTAATGTATGGGAGTGTGCTATGTAAAAATATATATTATAAGGGCACAGCTAGGCACTGCACTGAGCGGTTGGGGCACACATTAGCCCAAGTGCAATGGGTATCCCATGGCACTGTACGTAGGAGTTTGGGGCAAGCTTAGTGCCATGGGAACTCTATCTGTGGTTATTGCTAATCTAGGGGGACAGAGTATCCTGCAGGCAATGGCCCACTGTGCATAAGGGGTAGGTTAGGCACAATAGTAATGCGTTACTGTCACCCCACCATAGCCCCTGTTACCCCTCTATGCCCCGTCACCCCACTACAGCCCCTGTTATCCCAATATAGTCCCTGTCACTTCACCATAGCCCATGTCACCCCTCTATACCATGTCAACTCCAGTATAGCCCATGTCACACCACTACAGCCCCTGTCATCCCACTAAAGCCTTGTGTCATCTGACTATACCCACTATCCACCCCACAATAGTCCTTATCCTCCACTACATCCTCTGAGCCATTCATAAATTATAAGTCCAATTCCACCGACAAGTAATGGGCCAAAGAGCTGGAGCCTTCTCTAAACATTATTATGTCCTAAACCCACGCATTGTTTGGTTAGTAGAGGATCCTAAGAACCTCAAACCTAACTTTCACCCACGGTAATAGGAAGTAGCAGTATCTTCCTTCTAATTGGTCAAACTCACCAACATTCCACGTTCATGCCAGTGGCGAAAGGTTAAGGTGGTACCACTGCGAGTGTTCCCTTGGTTATTTATTAGGGGGATCATAAAACGCTCCCCCTTTTTTAAGCACAGAGACGGGGGGGGAGGGGATCTATTTGTTTTTTTATTATCTGGGGTTCATATTTTATTAACATGGAATCCACACATCCCTTACATTTGGTGGCAACTAATGTTTGCCTACAAAAAAATATTTGTACTTGCTATTAAAGAGTTAATAGTAAAAAGGTTCTGAGCGTTGGGCTCATTTTATAAACTGACCAGGTCGCATGATCTGCCCGTTAATGTGCTGCGCAGATGTTTTTGTAATTTATTTCCCCTCTCCTTAAGTGAAACGACATAGGTAGCTCATCTGGTAGAGACACATAACAGGCATGTGTGAGAGCAGGGGGGATGTGTAAACACTTCAGGCATATTCACTGTATGGGGACGTGGCAAAGCCCCTACCTCGACTGTATCACATTAACTGCAATACCAGAGCATGCAGACTGCCAATAGGAGCAGACACAGGCTTAGAATGGCTTGATGGGGACAGTAGGAGAAACAAAGAACCAGTGAATATATTTTAGAAAGGGTGGGGGTGGGGGGGGGTGTCGGGATTTAACCATTCTGCTGCCAGAGGAAATAATATGACTAACGCAATGAGAAGAGTTTATAGAGGAAAGTGACAGAGTTATTTACTAAAGAGTGAGCTTTTAGTAAATCAAAGTGAATTAAAATTTTAGATCACAATATGCAAATTGAAACCATAGGTAGCTCTGGGATTTTTTAAAAACTGGATTAAATTTACTTTGAATACTACCTTCAGTTACTGACATATCACAGTTAAGAAAATAACACTAACTATCTAGGGAGCTAAGATTAAGTCGCCCAGAGACAGATTTATCCTCCTCGCTGCCCTAAGGCCAGTATCCTCAATGCACATATATATATATATATATATATATATATATATATATATATATATATATATATATATATATATATATATATATATATATACACACACACACATATTGGTATAGTGGGGTGACAGGAGCTGTAGTGGGGTGACCCGGGCTATAGCAGGGGAAAGAAGGCTGTAGTGGGAGGATAGGGACTATTGTGGTGTGGACAGTGGGGATAGCCGGATGGCAGGGGCTGTAGTGGGGTGACAGGGGTTGTAGAAGGATGACTGGACTATAATGGGGTGACAGAGACTATATTCTGGTTACAAGGGGTTGTGGTAGGATGACATGGGCTATACTGGGGTGACAGGGCCTGTGGTGGGATGACAGGGGCTGTAGTGGAGGGACAGGGACATCAGTTGCCTGAAGTGGCAGGCTGGGCATATGTCATCTGTCGGGCTCAGCCACACAGCAGGAGAATGGGCTGACCGGCTGAGCTTTGATTTCCCCACCAACCATGCTTCCCTCCTCCTGCCTGGCACCCTAAGGCTTTGTTGGCATTGTGGTAAATTGTAGGTGCCCAGTTGCAAGATAAAGGGATGTAACATTCTATATTTTATTTTTTTCACACCTTTTTAAATAAAGGGATAAGTAAAAATAATATTAAAAATCCCTGGGAAGGAACAGTTCCTCTTTAATCTTCACTGGTGCAGCTGCAGGGGAAATGTCCCAAGATTTACCTAAGTTTAGGGAAGATTCATAAGACTGAAATGTCACATTTCTGAGAAGGTTCGGCAAACGTATACTGATACAAATATCTATCTAAAGCATTTCTCTCAATGGGAGGCCAGCGATAGGCTGAGAGGGGTCAGCTGATTCTCTCAGCCAATCACTGGCAGCCAAAGGCAAGCCTCCTACATTGGTGCTGGTGTTGGAGGAGGAGGCGGCAGAGAAGCAATGTGAATGGGAGCCGTCAAGAAAACTTTGAGGTTAACCTGTTCGAAAAACAGTTTAACCCCACAGTGTTCAGGTCCTCCAGACACCATAACAACTTCATCGCAAAATGAAGTTGTGATGGTACCAGAGTTATCCTTTCATATATATTTGAAATTCTATTAAACAGAAATGGCTAAAAAAAAAAAGGTTTTTTGAGCTGTCTAAGTGGTGCAAAGTGTAAATATTTTTTACTCTTTCTGTATTTGGGGCTGTACCACGTAACAGATGATATAGCCTCATAAAGGCAGGAAGAGGATTAAATTATACTAGTGGTGGAACTTCCTGTAAACCTCTCCTAAGAACAGGTTACCAAGTACAGTACTGCCCACCATGGTGACACTCTGGTATGTTTGATATGCTATATCCACATAAAACAAAATGGCTGCCAGAATTAGGTCTTACCTTGAAGTATGCATAGTGCAAGTACAGGTAGGGGTCTCTTCTCTGGAACACTTTCAGGATCTCCTGGTCAGGATAAGGCTGCTGAAATACAGGCAGAGTGGCTTTACACTTCCGTAGACAGACAGCCCTGGAGAGCACCTGTCCAAATAACTGAAGCTCAATACTCCATTCCTGGGTTTCCTTAAACGTGTCTTCCTCTTCAATCCCTGGAATTGGATGTTTCTTATTGCTGTCCACACAGTTCTGACCACAGAAAGACTCACTGTCCTGAAGCAATCGGTTCAGTCTTAGACTAGCCTCCAGTGCACGGGTGGCATCTCTCCAGGACTCCTTCTCGTAGAGTTCCAGGCCCTTGGCATAAGTGGGTTGCAGTGGCTTAATCTCCGAACGAGGGAAACCCCTAAAACTGTACTGTTCATACTGAGCCCAACAAGGAAAGTATGGGAAAACGACAGAAATGATAAGTGGGAGCAGCATGGCCGGTTACTGGATGTGATGGACCTCAGTCAAATGAGCAACCAAATACGACGTCAGGTTTGAAGGACCTGAGAAGACCCTGAAAGAAATCAGAATAAGGACAAGTAAAAATTAAAGGCTGGAGCTCAATGGGTCTGACCCAAAGATCTCAAGAGATTGGTTCCTGCTAGCAAGTCAGTGGTTCTAAACCCCTAAGTTGAGACCCAAAAATTGGTCCCCATGCATATCGACAGGTTTGCACAGATACATCATATCCATCAGTTTCTACGTAACTGCCCACAATTAATTGCTTATTTCAGCAGCAAAGCCTTCTTCCTCAGAGCTGTAGAGACCATTGAGACACATGATCAAAGTTATTCACCAAACTGACAAAACTCTGAATTGTAATAAATTAAATAGCACAAAGTAATCTGAACTAACCGATCTAGAACAAATTACATTTACATACTAATTCACTACAATTTGTTCTTTTGTGGATACTCCTGTATGAATGCCCTAACAAAGAGGTTTCTAGAATATGTAGAATGTACTTTAGAATGTCTTATATTAAAGATGAAAAGTGGATCAATGAGCTCATTTTTTATTGAAGTGTCTGTCGAGACAATGGGACGTGCATCATCTGGATAGCTATCAGAAAATACTAAAGTGGACAACCTCCAGGTCACCTGCGGCTCCAGAATGCTGGTCAGGTCTGTAGATGGAAATCAGATGCTAAAACTAAAGGGTTTATTCACTAAACTTCGAACTCCACTGAGCGCAAATCCAAATGGCAAGATTTAGCCTGAAATAGCCACGCTCTGGCCACAACTGAGTTTGGAGAATTTTTCCAAGTCTACACTTTTTGCCAAACTTTGCAATTCTGTTTTCAATTCACTAGAAATCAGAGTTTAATGAATATACCCCATAATGAATACGGCAGATATATTTTAGACAATGTCATATGCATTCCAGGACAACCCTATGCACACTGGTAAAATGGGGTTAATACAGACACAATATATATATATATATATTTATATTATTTATACACACTATATATATACATATATTATTTATAACATATTATATACTATATATTATTTTATATGTATGTCATCCTAGAGGAACGTTCTAAAAGTAGAGTAGAAACATTCTTTCGGTTTCCATGGCGACTACTCCACTTTCATAAAAAAATATATATATATAAAAGTGGAGCAGTCGCCATGGTAACCAATAGAACGTTTCTCCAATACTTTTAGAACGTTCCCCCAGGATGATTCTTTGTATCGAACCCCGATCTATCCACACTTTACCCCAGACTGCAGGCTGTCTGCAGCTCCTCCAATGCTGGAGGTCCTGCTGGCTCCTTCCGGTCAGTCAGTCCAGGGGCTGGGGGTCTGTGCTGGGCTGAGCCCCCCGATCTCGGCAGCAGTGAGATGGACCCAGTGCCCGCAGTCTGAGTGCTATGACAGTCCAGCCAGGGAGAGCTCTCCTAACCTTAGTTCTGGTAAGTTGGACCCACTTCAGGACAGGGAGTGAGAGCTACTCCTGAGATTCCGCTGGGTCTTAAAGGCTCCACCTCTCTGTTACTCACTGACACAATGATTAATACATTCCACCTTAGACAAGGAGTTGTCTGCGTTAATATATATCGAATAATGTAACATTTCACAGGAAAACAACTTTAAACTTTCTAATAATTTAGCTGAAATGTCCTGGTTATCCAGAATATTGGCACTCATTTTACTACCCAAAATTGATCCACCCAATGTGGCACTTTGACATATGGGAAAAGGAGGCTGGAACCGAATTAAAAGGGACTCCTGAAACCTTAATCACTAAGCTGTAGTGGTTATGGTATCTAGATTGGCATTTTGACTTATATTAAAGCAGTATTGTCATTAAAAGTTTGATATGGGTTGTGCTAATTATTATAAAAAAATTTTGAACTCTCACTAGTTTATACCTTTTTTTTTTTTTTTTTTGACATAGTGTGCCAGACACTCTTTGTAAATTAAATTAACCCCTACAGTGGTGTGTGGCGCTTGCTTACATATGGCATTACTGAAGGAGTGAGCATGCGCATGTACAGTTCTCTGACGTTGCCAAAGTGCATATGTGAAAAAGACCTTATCTGTCTATAAGGGAAACTCTGTCTAGACACTATAACCACTTAATCTCATTGAAGTGGTTATGGTGCATAAAGTCCCCTGGCACTGTCACACTGTTCATTTTTAAACTGTTTCTGAGCTGTTTAACACTGAAGGCTCCCTGGCCGCCTGCAGCCCAGCCCTCTATACTACTGTGGCAGGAGCAGGAGCGTCATTTGGGGACAGTGATAGCGACAACAACTTGCACACTTAGCCATCCATAAAGACAAAACTATTTTTTTTCTATCTGTTTTCTAAAAAAATTGCATTATATCTTGCGTGGTCCTGACACACTGTCCAATCTTTACGAGGTGTTATTTTTTAATTACTCTATATTAATGGCTCTATATTAATATAGAGTAATTAAGAGTAACTGTGAGTATATGTTGTACTGGCTGAATGTGATGGTGCGAGGGATTGCCAAGTGTTATTTTGGGGGAGTTTGTGTGTGTCATAATAATGTTGAATTTTATTTATAAAACAGACACCTACAGGCAGACATACACCCTTACCTCCACTTCCATCAGTTTAGACCTCTGGGCAGCAGAGTGCCTGTTTGCCACCCCTGGGAACCGTTCATGTTGGCCAGGAGATGTCATAAATACACCAGCGGGAGATATGCACCACCCGCCTGGAACTCCCACCAGGCCTGAGGGCAGAAGGCGGCCCAGTACAACTCTCCACAGCACCTTTGCTACACTAGAACTCCAAGAAGGGCATTAATTGGAGGGAAGGCAAAGTAAAGGGCTAACAAAAACCACTAAATGTTAGGGGGTGTGTCGTTCCCCCCCTCCCCCCCCCCGGAGCCAGTGCAGCCTCTTGTTAATGACCAACACCTACTAGCGGACAGCCTGTAACTCTGCGCCAGACCGGAGGTTAGCCTTGTCCTGCTATGTTTAATCTGACGATTACTCCGGCTACGTACCTCTGATCCAAGAACTTTTGGACAGTTTACTATTGGCATCCACGTGTCCGAGGATGTGTGACTTGTTACCTGTACTTGTGGTGACCCTTACGTTTTAGGGTTCATATTGTACAGCGCCCTGTTGTCTGGGATAATAAAATCTTCTTCGAGTTAGTTAAGTTATGTCTCGGACTCAGAGGCACTAGGCATGGGACCTATTCTTGTATTTTTTTACTAGGCACGGGACCTATTGTTCAGTATGATGACCCCCTGTGGAGAATGTCGCTATAAATATACTACCTTTATCATAATAAAGTGTTATTGTTTTACCACTTCATTTAGTCTCGACTGGTGTTTGGGGATGGGCTATAGTCACCTTGACGATTCTTTCCCATTGTTAGGGGAACTTTGGCGGTACTGTCCCCACAATTCTCCCTACAGTACGGACAGAGGCATAACCAGACTGGCATACACAAACAGGCACAGACAGGCATTCCCATACAGGCTACACAGACTCAGGCACAGGCTTACACACAGACAGGCGTACAGAGACATACACTAACAGACATACACATACATACACAATATAATAATATTTTTCCTATTCTACATAACTGAAAGCAGGACCAGCGGGTGCAAGCCCCCCCCTCAATGTCACATATGGTGTGAGGAAGAAGAGACAGAAAACCTCCCGGTCCTGTGCTTCTAACCCCAAGATCTCTGCTCCATTGCTGCTGTGCTCCTTACCTGCCCAGTGTCTTCGTTGAGTCTCAGCTGGGAGCAGAAGCAGCTCATTATGTTTCTATATGCTAGTGTGCTGTTTCTGCTCCAGGAGACTGAGCAGGGGAGTGATCAAGGCAAGAGACTGGGCAGGGGAGCGAGCAAGGTGAGAGACTGGGCAAGGGAGCGAGCAGGACATAAATTAAAGGCTCATAGATGTGGTCTGGGTGCAGTGTCCCTTAACCCTTCAATGGTAATTATTGCATATTTTACCAGACAGCCAGTAGAGGGACTTTTGGATGAGGACATCCAGCATCAGTCAATTATAGAATCCTTTCTAAGGGGAAAAGTCCTAATTCAAGCGTGGCAATTGCCGCGCATACAGGGCTTGAGTCCTGCAGGAACACGTGGGAACGGCGTTCCTGCACTTTTCCACAGCAGGAACCCAGTTCCCGTTAGTAGTCCTGCAAGACCTGCCCTTTGCAAATGGGCGTCCGCAGGGGGGGATTGCCTGTGGACGTTCAGCACTGACATTATATGCAGTGCGAGACGGAACTTCAGTGCTCACATTACCACCGGGCTGCTCCTGGTGCTGTAGGGTGACTCATCAGGGTCAGAGTGGCAGAATCCACCTCGTGTCTGACATGCTGCATCCTGGCCATGTACAGGGCAGCACAGGTGGCTGGACACAGAGCTCCCTGTTGCAGGAGCCGGCAGATAGGAGTCAGTCAGCAGCAGCTCTGGGGCCATGAAGAGCGAAACCCCGGATAAAAGGGTAAGCGTTTCTATCATTCATTGTCATGATAGTAGTATTGGAAATGTTAGTTGTCCTGGACTCCTGCCCTCGCTGTGTAAATTGATTCATGACTAGAATTACAATAATTGTGGCCTGCCATACTGCTTCTTTTTATAATGGCTGTGGTTCAAGTTAAAGGGACATTATAGTCAGCAATAGAACTTTAGCTTAATGAAGCAGTTTTGGTATATAGATCTTGCACCTGCAGTCTCACTGCTCAATTCTCTGCCATTTAGGAGTTAAATCACTTTGTTTATGCAACCCTAGCCACACCTCCCAGCATGTTACTTGCACAGCTTTCCTAAACACTTCCTGTAAAGAGTCAGCTAGTGTTTATACTTCCTTTATTGTAAATTCTGTTTAATGTAGAATGTCTTAACTCCTGCTCTATTAATAGCTTGCTAGACCCTGCAGGAGCCTCCTGTATGTAATTAAAGTTAAATTTAGAGAGCTGATAATACAAAATTTTAATGTTACTACAAGTTACTATCTGATTGAAAGGGAAACCATTCTTTTTCCATACAGACTGTGTGAGTCACAGCCAGGGTAGGTGTGACCAGGGATGCATAAACAGAAACAAATGATTTAACTTCTAAATGGCAGTGAATTGAGCACTGAGACCTCAAAGACATACTTTATACACTAAAACTGCTTCGTTAAGCTAAAGTTGTTTTGGTGTATAGATCATGCCCATGAAGTCTCACTGCTCAATTCCCTGCCATCTAGGAGTTCAATCACTTTGTTTATGCAGCCCTAGTCACACCTCCCTGCATGTGATTTACACTGTCTTCCTAAACACTTCCTGTACATAGTTGTCTAATGTTTACACTTCCTTTATTGCAAATTCTGTTTAATTTGTGTGTATCTCCTGCTAGGTTAATAGCTTGTTAGATCCTGCAGGAGCTTCCTGTATGTGATTAAATTTCAATTTACAGGAGATAAACCCGTTTAAAGTTGGTAACATCTGATTGAAAATGAAACAATATTTTTTTCATACAGGTTGTGTCAGTCACAGTCAGGGGAGGTGCATAAACAGAATTTTGTCATATTTATGAAACCGCATGAAAAGGGTTGCCTTGTAGTGTGGATAACGCATATACTGCAGGATTCTTCATTGCCTAATTACTTAATTTTATACACCTTTTTCTGAATTCTACAAACTACAGGGCAACACTTGTCATGTGCTGCCCATCAATCAGTGATATGTGTCCCTGAAAACATGGTGGATCTGGTAACCATGCTCTAGTGGCTGTCAGGAAGACAGGCACCTGAGGACGTCCCCGTGTTACAACCGAGTAAAATTTGGTTATAGATCAAATGCTACACCTAGAGCAGCATTTGATTGGTACAGCATGGACACTAGCCTCTATGGGGAAGCATTGGATTGGCTGAGATCATCAACACTGCAGGACAGCTGGAAGGTAAGGGCTGAGAACCCTCATGCCTTAAGAATACACGTTGATGTTCCGAACGCGATAGTGTTCCCGTAAGAGACGGTAAAGAGTCTGTGTTCCAATGTCTCTCAGTTTTATTCACTAAAATGAGAATTCAAAGTGATTTTCAAATTTAACGGTAAAATAGATGAACTGGGAAATAGAGGCAGCTATGCTTTCAGTTTGACTACTCACCTTTAAATCACTTTAAAATCTCACTTAGTGTATAACCCTGTGTATATTAGGGGGAGGTGGGAGGTATGTGTCCTGATATCTCTGTATTAGGGGGAGGTGAGAGGTATGTGTCCTAAATTCTGTGTATTAGGGTGGGGTGAGAGGTATGTGTCCTGATATCTGTGTATTAGGAGGAGGTGAGAGGTATGTGTCCTGATATCTGTGTATTGGGGGGAGGTGAGATCTGTGTATTAGGGTGGAGTGAGAGGTATGTGTCCTGGTATCTGTGTATTAGGAGGTGGAGTGAGGTATGTGTCCTGATATCTGTGTATTAGGAGGAGGTGAGAGGCAGGAGTCCTGATGTCTGCGTATTAGGAGGAAGTGAGAGGTATGTATCCTTATGTCGGTGTATTAGGGAGAGGAGAGAGGTATGTGTCCTGATATCTGTGT